AAGCTGATTGTGACAGCTTTTTCCTGCTGCTTCATATTTTTGTGGAATATGAAATAGAAAGTTCAAAAGACTAACCTGTCTGAGTTGCTGCTCTGCCTTTGCATCATTAGGATGGACACAGAACTTCTTCCAGCTGGTCACTGCAGCTTCCAGAGGCTCTGATGGTATGGTCTTGTCATCAAAGTTGACAAAAATGGCATTGTTTGGCCGGCGAGCTCGATTCGGGGCAATAAGATGATCTTTTAGGAGAACAGACTGCATTGCAGTCTCCCTGCTGTTTATTGAGAAGCCAACAAATCAAACCACCAAAACACACATACGGCTGAACTCAGAACAGCAGGTCAACTCATGTGAGAATTCAGGTCTTTCTCCAGCTTACCTGTGCAATACATCTGGACGGTAGTAATAATCCACAGCCGTGTCCAGACGAGAGAAAATAGGAGGAGGAAGGAAAAGAGGCACGGGATTGTCGTAGAATTCTTTCTTCTCGGGTTTGCGCAAAATTATCTTGTCGTACAAAGACATCTGGTTTCCATCTGGATCGTTGTGAGTCGCTAGGTACTGGAAGTCAGCCATTCCTGAAGAATCAAAGGTGAGAATGTGTGATTATTAAAGAGTCAGCCCACCAATAAATTTAAACCCTTATGTAATTCCAAATCTGAATGACTTTCTTTACACAATTATCCATTTAAAGCGTTAGTTCACCCAAAAATGAAAATTCTGTCATTAATTACTCGCCCTCATGTCGTTTCAAACCCGTAAGACCTTCGTTCATCTTCAGAACACAAATTAAGATATTTTTGATGGAATCTGAGAGCTGTCTGTCCCTGCATAGACAGCAAAGCAATTGAAATGTTCCCAAGTCCAGAAACGTAGCAAGGAGATCTGTAAAATAATCCATGTGACATCAGTGGTTCATCCGCAATTATACGAAGCTACGAGAATACTCGTCACACGGATACGCTGTTTTCGTTCAGATCAAATCACAACAACGTAGGAAACAGATCCGGCGTGACGCAGCTGACACAGAACAGCATACGCCGTTTACATCCAGCGGATATTCTCCAAAATGGCGCTACAGGGTGATGCAGAAGAGATGAATTGTTGAATAAAGTCGTATTTATTTTGAGCACAAAAAGTATTCTCGTAGCTTCGTATAATTGCGGATGAACCACTGATGTCACATGGATTATTTTACAGATATCCTTGCTACGTCTCTGGACTTGGGAACATTTCAGTTGTGTTGCTGTCTATGCAGGGTCAGACAGCTCTCAGATTCCATCAAAAATATCTTAATTTGTGTTCCAAAGATGAACGAAGGTCTTCCGGGTTTGAAACGACATGAGGGCGAGTAATTAATGACAGAATTTTTGGGTGAACTAACCCTTTAAGACCCCATGAAATCAAAACTGGAGTTGCAACAGTAAAAACTGTATTCATGTAGCATATCATTTAAAAAAAAATAAGAAGAATATATTTTTCTGTTGTGGTACCCTGTAAAAATGATTCTTTCAAAGTTTGAAATAAAGATTATTGAAGAATGTTTTACAACATAATAATAATATTAAAAAAGTAAATAAACAAAAATACTATTTCATGTTTAATCCATTGTAATTATTTGTTAAATTTACCAGCACTTTCTGAGTGAAAATGTTTTAAATCCTACACCAAAATGTAAAAATAGTAATAAAATTAGTTAAATTATAAAAAAAAAATAAAAAAAACTAGTAGGTGAATTTGACTATCTATACCAGGGGTGCCCAAACTCGGTCCTGGAGGGCCGGTGTCCTGCAGAGTTTAGCTCCAACTTGCCTCAACACACCTGCCTGCAAGTTTCTAGTATGCCTAGTAAGAGCTTGATTAGCTGGTTCAGGTGTGTTTAATTGGGGTTGGAGCTAAACTCTGCAGGACACCGGCCCTCCAGGACCGAGTTTGGACACCCCTGATCTATACCTTGAAATTTATACGTGGTCCCAATAAGTCCCACTATCTCCATGCTGATTTGGGTTTCTGCACTGTTTCCTTTGCGGGTTCTGCGGCGCACTCTGAGCAGCAGGTTGGTGGAGGAGTAGCGGTTCCCGTAAGCAGGATGGCAGAACAGATCCTTCGGCCGAAAACGGAGTTCAAGTCTTTTAGAAGAATCTGCATAGGTCTGTTCAGAAAAATCTCAGGTTAAAATCACACATATACACATGTACACATATCCATTAACATTTCTGTTCAATAGTTTAAGGTCAGTGAGATTTTCTTTTAAAGAAACGATTTTTATTCAGCCAGGAAGCATTAAATGAATTCAAATTGACATTAAAGACATTCTTAACAGACATTCATAGATCTCATATAAATGCTGTTCTTGTGAACTTTTTACTCATCAAAAGATTGATAAAAAAGGCTTTCCATAAAAATATTTTTTCTCAGCATTGATAATAATAAATGTGTCTTGAGTAGCAAATCAGCATAATCATAATTTGTGAAGGATCACAGTGAAGACACTGACCTTTGCCATTACAGGAATAAATCACGTTAAAACATATTCTAATAGAAAACAGCTGTTTTAAATTGCAATGATATTTCACAATATTACTGTAAATACATCTCATATATTTATTGCTATATTAGAGAGAGAAATTTAAAAAAAATGCTTACAATTGTGCATCTTAATTACATGAACTTAGAATAAAACACAATGAACAATATAAATACACCTAAACAATTAACTTAAATGACATATTCTAAAACAAGAAAGTGATTTCACAATAGCAAGAACTACTGTACAACATAATCTGACAAACAAATATTTGACTGAACTCATCTACAAATCTACATTGTAACTGTTACATGACAACAACAGTCTAGATGAACACAGTATTAACCAGGTATCTATTTAATTTAAAGCAGAATGTAATCACCTTGGATACTCCCTCTTCGCCTCCAATGCTTTCCAGCATTGTGTCCACATTGTTGACGACTGCTGGGTATTCAACACACACTAGACTAGTGTCAGACAGGGCCAGTGTTGCTGTATTGCCTGAAACAACAGCTGTATCATGGCTTTCTCCTTTGTTTCTCACATCTGTGCTCGACGAAGCCGGATTGCTTGTGATCAGAGGATCCATGCTTAAACGACTGTTGTTCTACGCCTATGCATGAGGAAAAGACATCTTCTGAATAGTGTATTTCTATGACAGAGAGCCTTGGTAAACAGCATGTACAGGAGCGAGTCCGCTTGTGAAAAGCCCCCGGGTGGAACTGCACCAGGTCAGGAGAAGTAACGTTCGTTCCGGGCCTCACACCTCATACAGTGCGCAACTGCGCATGCCCAGTAACAAACAGCAAGCATGGAGGACGTGAGCCGCTGAAGATTTTACTATAAAATCACCCTGGAATACTAAATAAAGTAAGTTTATGATATTCCCACAGCTTCCAAACTCGGTCCTGGAGGGCCGGTGTCCTGCAGAGTTTAGCTCCAACTTGCCTCAACACACCTGCCTGCAAGTTTCTAGTATGCCTAGTAAGAGCTTGATTAGCTGGTTCAGGTGTGTTTAATTGGGGTTGGAGCTAAACTCTGCAGGACACCGGCCCTCCAGGACCGAGTTTGGACACCCCTGATCTATACCTTGAAATTTATACGTGGTCCCAATAAGTCCCACTATCTCCATGCTGATTTGGGTTTCTGCACTGTTTCCTTTGCGGGTTCTGCGGCGCACTCTGAGCAGCAGGTTGGTGGAGGAGTAGCGGTTCCCGTAAGCAGGATGGCAGAACAGATCCTTCGGCCGAAAACGGAGTTCAAGTCTTTTAGAAGAATCTGCATAGGTCTGTTCAGAAAAATCTCAGGTTAAAATCACACATATACACATGTACACATATCCATTAACATTTCTGTTCAATAGTTTAAGGTCAGTGAGATTTTCTTTTAAAGAAACGATTTTTATTCAGCCAGGAAGCATTAAATGAATTCAAATTGACATTAAAGACATTCTTAACAGACATTCATAGATCTCATATAAATGCTGTTCTTGTGAACTTTTTACTCATCAAAAGATTGATAAAAAAGGCTTTCCATAAAAATATTTTTTCTCAGCATTGATAATAATAAATGTGTCTTGAGTAGCAAATCAGCATAATCATAATTTGTGAAGGATCACAGTGAAGACACTGACCTTTGCCATTACAGGAATAAATCACGTTAAAACATATTCTAATAGAAAACAGCTGTTTTAAATTGCAATGATATTTCACAATATTACTGTAAATACATCTCATATATTTATTGCTATATTAGAGAGAGAAATAAAAAAAAATGCTTACAATTGTGCATCTTAATTACATGAACTTAGAATAAAATACAATGAACAATATAAATACACCTAAACAATTAACTTAAATGACATATTCTAAAACAAGAAAGTGATTTCACAATAGCAAGAACTACTGTACAACATAATCTGACAAACAAATATTTGACTGAACTCATCTACAAATCTACATTGTAACTGTTACATGACAACAACAGTCTAGATGAACACAGTATTAACCAGGTATCTATTTAATTTAAAGCAGAATGTAATCACCTTGGATACTCCCTCTTCGCCTCCAATGCTTTCCAGCATTGTGTCCACATTGTTGACGACTGCTGGGTATTCAACACACACTAGACTAGTGTCAGACAGGGCCAGTGTTGCTGTATTGCCTGAAACAACAGCTGTATCATGGCTTTCTCCTTTGTTTCTCACATCTGTGCTCGACGAAGCCGGATTGCTTGTGATCAGAGGATCCATGCTTAAACGACTGTTGTTCTACGCCTATGCATGAGGAAAAGACATCTTCTGAATAGTGTATTTCTATGACAGAGAGCCTTGGTAAACAGCATGTACAGGAGCGAGTCCGCTTGTGAAAAGCCCCCGGGTGGAACTGCACCAGGTCAGGAGAAGTAACGTTCGTTCCGGGCCTCACACCTCATACAGTGCGCAACTGCGCATGCCCAGTAACAAACAGCAAGCATGGAGGACGTGAGCCGCTGAAGATTTTACTATAAAATCACCCTGGAATACTAAATAAAGTAAGTTTATGATATTCCCACAGCTTTATACTCATTGTGGTTTTGTAAAAAAGCAACGTTGCTCTAATAAACCGTCCAGCATACGAGGTTAATGGACATTGTTGAACAGGGAGGGCACAGTCGATGGACAGTCGAAGAAAAAAACATAAAAAAATGTGTAGAAAATCGAAATACTTTTTTAAAAGAGCAATTTGTTGCGAGTAGCTGTAAACTAAATGTCTGTGCTTTGAAGTGAGAAATGAAAATTCGATTTAAAGTGGTTCGTAAATGTGTTTTGAAAGAGTTGATGCAATAAACAGAAATGTTGTAAACGTCACAGTAGTTGTCACATGTTTCTGTTTTGTTATTGTTAATTTAAGAAACATAGTCTATTACATTCAATCGGATTTGAGACTAAGACCACCTTCAACTGTCAAAATTAACGTTATACTTATAATGAACTGAACTGAGCTAACCTGTTAATTTGCAAATTATATATCTTTTGAATGGTGGTGCAGATAAATAATAATATATAGATATATATATATATATATATATATATATATATATATATATATATACATGCATGCATTTTTCCTCTATATATATGTTAGGGCTGCGCGATTATGACAAAAATCACAATAGTCGATTATTGCCTTGAAATTGTGATTGCGGTATTAATTACGATGATCACAAATTACATTGTTTGTTACATTGCAACTGCATGCCTTTGCTGTCTGGATTTTTATCTCAGTATTTAGGTGTGCTCTAATCTTTTTTTTTTTTTCTTTTCAGAAAAGCTGTATTTTGCTCCAAACATTGGCAGCTAGTTCCAAATATTTAAACCAAAAACTAAAATCTGGCTAAAGAATAAACAATAAAATCCTACTCAGAAATAATCAAGGCATGTTTGGGTCAAAGCATGTTAAGAGTGGGGCTAGTAAGATGTAGTAAGTTATGTTTTTTGAGACCAAAGTCTCTTATGTTCACCAAGGCTGCATTTATTTAATTAAAAATACAGCAAAATACAGTAATATTGTGAAATATTATTACAATTTAAAATAAAAAAAATTCTGTTATATATATATATATATATATATATATATATATATATATATATATTAAAATGTAATTTATTCCTGTGATTACAAAGCTGAATTTTCAGCAGCTATTACTTTAGTCTTCAGTATGACATGATCCTCTTATAGCTATCAATGTTAAAATCAGTTACTTAATATTTTTGTGGAAGCAATGATAGATTTTTTTCAGGATTCAATTGGTAGAAAATTCAACAGAACAGGATTTATTTGAAAATTAATTTTTAGTAACATTATAAAATTCTCTACTGTCACCTTTGAGTAATTTAATGCTAAATAAAAGTATAATTTCTTTTCAAAATGTAAAAAAAATAGCAATCCCAGTAAAATCCCACTCATTTAATGTATGTATGGATGTGTATATATTAGTATAGTTTAGTTTAGTCCCAGGTTAAATAGGATTTTCATTTAATCACAGTTTAATAAGTGCTGTTTGATCCTTACATGTTAGGACACTTTATGGGGAACTTGTAAGGGAATTATTTCAATGCTTTTAATATGAAACCCTGACCTCTTCATTAATGCATACATTTAGGAAGACAAGAAGAAACCCAAGATGGGAATCAAAGAATGCAAAGCACCCAAAGACCACACTAAAATGACCATGAGAGAGCTGATCTATTACCTGCCTGTTTCCAACCCAATGAAGTATGTGCCGCTCTTAATTCCTCTGTGTGTTTTAGAAGTGCATGTAGATGGAAATGCTGTGCAGCAATTACGACAAACCTCTAATTGACAGTATTTTCAAGTTTCCTATGCCTTGATTTATATCAAACCCTGTCTTGTTTTTCTGTACAGGTCTTTCACAGAAGAGGAGCAGAAAGCATCAGAGACAGTATTAGATGACTCTCCTACACCAACGTAAGCCTGATCACTCTGTCTATCACCTTGATGCCAATATAAGATACTGTTTTCTCGTTTATGATTTAGAATTATGATTTTTCTCTTCAGGTCTTCTAAGACTCCAGCTGCTCCATCAGTTCAGGAGACAGTTGTAGAAGATGTTGGTAATGAAGAAGATGAGGAAAGAATGCAAGAAACCCAGCCGGAGGAGGAAGAGCCTCTTCTAGTGCCCAGGGTGAAGGTGGCAGAGGATGGCTCTCTGATTATAGACGAGGAGAGGTCAGTGACACATTTTCCCCCTGAGCTGCTGAGAAATGTAGTCCAGAACCTAGAGAATTCATTTTAGTAGAATTGAAGGTGAACTTCCTACGTTAAACTGCTTTTTATTTTGTTGTGTGTGTGTAGTTTAACAGTCCAGGTGTCAAGGGCAAAAGGACCCAATCCGGCAGAAGACAGAGATCCTATATTTGAACGTGGCTCTACCACCACCTACTCCAGCTTTAGGAAGGGGACCTACACCAAACCCTGGTCCAATGGAGGTCGGAAGTCAGTCAAAATGCACCTCTTAATCCAACGTGTGTTATACATTTCATTTATATAGGATCCTTTCTTTGACTATTCCAGAGACTGAAATGTTTTACTTGGCCATCAGCATGGTGGGGACAGACTTCTCCATGATTGGTCAGCTGTTTCCACACCGAGCTCGAATTGAGATTAAGGTGGTCACAATATCTTTGTGTTTTGTGCTCTAAACTTTATATAGTACTTGATTTCACCATCTACACTATTGTTTAAAAGTTTGGAGTTTGTACATTTTTAGTTCAAAATGTTTTTGAACTAAGTCTCTTATGCTCACCATGGCTGTACAGTAAAAACAGTAATATTGTGAAATATTACAATTCAAAATGTTCTATTTTAATATGTTAGAATTAACTTTATTCCTGTGATGCAAAGGTGAATTTTCAGCATCATTACTCCAGTCTTCAGTGTCACATGATCCTTCAGAAATCATTCTAATATGCTGATTTGGTGGTGTAAAATACAAGCTCATCTTATTACCCTCTTCTTTGCTGTTCTCTCATTCCTCTAGAACAAGTTCAAGAAAGAGGAGAGAAATAACTCATGGAGAATAGATAAAGCTTTTAGTAAGTGACCTTTTACTTCTTTAAAGGGGTCATATGATGCGATTTCAATTTTTCCTTGGCTCTTGGTGCATAAAGAAGATCTGTAAAGTTGCAAAGACTAAAGTCTCAAATCCAAAGAGTTATTCTTTATAAAAGTTCAGAGTCAACCACACCTACCTAAAACGGCTCGTTCTAACACGCCCCCACATGTCTACGTCACGATGTTGGAAGATTTGCATAACGCCGCCCAAATGTTCACGCAAAGAAAGAAGGCATAACTTTTATTCTCGCTTTAGTATTGTTGCTGCCGCGGCCGTCATGTCGTTCAGACGATGTGTGTTTCGTTGTGAAAGTGAAACTACTTTGTTTGGCCTTCCAAAAGGGGACGATATCCGCTCAGTCATGCCTAGAGGTGATCCGTGCTGGTCGCTGAGGAAATACATCAACTTCGCGCTGTGGATCGCCGGATCGGCTTTCACCGTGGACGAAGCGGAGTCCAGCCCGGGGTCGTCACATGTGTTTGCCGTAAGCCCGCTGTTTTCAAGCCCGCCGGCTGCCGCTCACTCAAGCCTGCTGTGTGTTTCGTTGTGAAAGCAAAACTACTTTGTTTGGCCTTCCAAAAGAGGACACGACTAGAAATCAGTGGTTAAGTTGTATTTACAACACTGTTTCAGAACAGTTCAACCCAAATATTCAGATGTGTGCAGCGCATTTTATGGAGGACTGTTTCCTGATCCTGGGAGAGTAGACTACAATGCCGGCTGTTCTGACTCACAGACTAAGTACGTTTTGATATTTAAAGGATTTGCCACTGACGATTCAAACTAGGGCTGTCGCGATAACCGCAATACCGCGCTATTGACGAGCAAACCGCAGAGAAATGCAAAAACCGCAGCAACCGCGATTTTTGCGTGTTTTCTTTTTTCTTGAGGTTATGCCCTTCTCGTTTTACACTTCATGCATGTGGACTGAATATTAAACAAGTTAGTAATGATAACATAATGTGTACCATGCTGATTTGTAAAGAGGCTCCGTAGATTTGCAAGCCTAAACAGACCGTGAATGAGAGAGAGAGATCGACTGAGCGCGTGCAATTACTTGTGTCTGTCCTCCAGGCCGAGTCATATATATTTGTGAAAACAGGTTGTCATGTCCAAGGAAAGTGAAATCTCTGTCTTAGCATCGACATGGTCAGCTGAGCCTTCTAAAGTGGTGCTCAAAGTTAAAATGATTTCAACAGCGTGTTTAATTACGTCTCTTAGAATGAATGAATCAGCATTTTTGAACGTGTAGTTGAATGACAGTCCCTTTCCACCACCTTGTGGCGCAACACTGTAACTGCACTGACTGACAGCCCGTCTAGAACGCGCGCAGGTGGAAATATCAATAGAAAGTCTCTTGTCCAGTCAGATTAGAAAATCAGAT